CAAAAAGAAGCGGAAGATTAGGGAGGCCATTGACATCCTTGGTGATACAAATCTAATGAACAGGAGATTGGAAGAAGGTAGAGTTATCGATAACTTTGCCTACTGCCTAAGCAAAATTGGGGAAAACGTTTAGGATTTAGGATTGTTAATCTTGTAAGGCACGGATTTCGCGGAAGATTTGTATGCCTTTTCTTAAATATTAACTATACTTCAAATTTCTTTAAAATTATCTAAATCTTAAACGTAACAGAAGCAAGCATGCAGACTAAGAATTACCATCTATCCTATTAGAGGGCAAATATTTAGGATATCAAATGCGGTCAAATCTAATTTGAAAAAGTAATTATCTACTTCGACAGATTAACAACTGCTCCTCGTAGTAATTGGAATACCACCAGCATAACTAGGTTCTGATATGGGCTTCATTGTTAGTTCCTAAATCAAATCAACATTACGTTTTTGACCCCATAGTGTGCCTACAGAGGCGCTGGTTTCGGCCAACAATTATTTGCCTCTAATCGTTCCAAGCGTATTGTCAAAAGCTAGTGGCTCATTCATCAGCTAATCAGCAATGCAAAATGTTTTTGACAGCATGATGATTTTGATCTACCTTTTCATAAATACTATTTGAAATGGGGACAGACTGTGGGTTAAAACTCACCTTCAATTTCTATTATCAAGGCAAGTTATTTGTTTCTTTTTAAAGAGGGTATTATATAAATAATTGTCATCGCTGCATAATGTGCATACTATGATAAATAAACTGAAATATTTTGGCATTTCCAAGAGTGTCTATAGAACTTTGGTGGACAAAATTTTCTAATTTTATCGTTTATTTTTTATCGATAATCACTTTAATATTCAAAAATGTTACAAGTTTGGTCCTGATCTATTATCAAAGGATTTCATTACTAGTCAAATTTCGCATAAGCTTATCAGTTAGTTATTCGATTCATTGATTTATATTTATCTAATATTACTCTTAAAACATACTTGCATCAAGTATGTTTATTTAGTACTGATCTAACGTATATATCAAGCTAGCTTATTCTATTCCTTATACTTTTGTACAACATAGATCACTATTGTCAAGGCCATTGGTATCTTGATCCAGCTGACGCCATACCACAGATTACAGCCAGGCCTTTTTTCCAGTCTTGTGCCAATTCTCTGTAACATGCTATTTCGGACCTGTGAGGGTGGTCCTCGATCTTCGGATATACTTGCTGGGGTGTTGACGTCTTTCGCCAACATTCTTGCTAAGCCATTTGGTCCTTTGAATGAGGTAAGGATACTACTGTGGTGCTTTACAATGATTTAGGAAGGAGCTTTCCTTACATACAGCATTAGCTAGATTTATCCAACATCGCCATTACAGTTAGAAATTCTACTTTCTTCGCATACTTTTACGTTATATGTTTTTTTCTTGTCTTTTAATAATTTTAATTTGAGGCAAATGTGGTTAAGTACTGATTTTCCACTGCTTCATAACATGTCCATACCTTAAATCCTGATTCGTATTGACGATACAAACTCTGACACTTGTGGAATTGGGATGATAGCCAGCCTTTGTGCTCTATAGGCAAGTAGGAGGCTTGACCTCTATCCTTCAGCATTCAGACATCAAGCCTAACTGGCCAATCAGACTCGCCTGACTATAAAGCTCATTTTGATAAATTAATAAATATAAGTATTGGGTCTGAGCTGGATAAACTATTTTAACTCACTATCATTTCCAACAGTAGTGTATACACTGTGAATACATAATAAATTCTACTAGCAGGGGCCAAGCAATTTCTTGCGTCTCAGAGGCTACATCAGAGTGTGAGATTGCCCCTGGTGACAAGATGAATATCAAGGCAGTCCTTGCGAAATGTAAATAGGTATAAAGCTCTTGCATGTATAATACTTTTATCTAGGTCTCTCGTCTCTTGTCCAAGTCTTGGCCTCCCGGCACCTCTGACTGCCCATATCTTCGCATCTCGTCTTCTTCATCTACGAGTAAAAAGGGCCACGGAAGCGCTTCGATACAGACCTCCGACCACCAGGCAACTACCGCAAGTTCCTCATCTCCAGCTGACGCATGCAGGATTCAGTCGGCCACAGAAGTGATAATCGATCCATCCATTGTATCAATCGGGACCGCTTTGGATCTGGCCAATAAAAATGTGAGCAGGCCGAATCGGGAGGCCGAAAAAAATAGCATAGGTTCAGTGAATGCTGGCGGCGGTGACGGGGAAGAAAACCAGACAGAACAATCGAGCCAACAGGTCCTGGTCACTCCGTTTCAGCCTCCTGAGCACATTAACCCTTCGGCAATCTCCAAACTCGGTGGGAAGAGTCCTGAATCATTGCGTCGACTACCGGACATGTTGAATTCAAACCAGTTATCCTCCAGTTGGCTTGTTAATGTGAGAGTCAAGAGATAAACATACACAAACACCTTGCCTATTTCTTGTCTAAGTATGCTTCGAAGTTATTAGTAACTTTTGAAAAATGAATCTACGGTTGTAGGCCCCGTTTTGGTTGTCGATGAAATATGAGGTGGAATGAGATGAGCTGAATTGAGATG